AAAATCTAGAATTTGCGGCAGCATGTTGAAATATGTACAAAAATAATGTTACTTTTGCATGACTATTCTTATGATGATTCCGAATTTTGCGACAGAGAAAGATTTTCAAGAGAATTCTGGATTTTGCTTCATATACTTGCGGTGCTTATGAGAATCCCATTTTGGTGTCTCATAAGCACGTCATATATGTACTTAAAATCTAGAATTTGCCGGAGCATGTTGAAATATGTACAAAAATGTTACTTTTGCATGACTATTCTCATGAGGATTCCGAATTTGGCGAAAGAGAAAGATTTTCATGAGAATTTTGGATTTTGGTTTCTATACTTGCGTGCTTATGAGAATCCCATTTTGGTGTCTCATAAGCACGTCATATATGTACTTAAAATCTAGAATTTGCCGGAGCATGTTGAAATATGTACAAAAATGTTACTTTTCCATGACTATTCTCATGAGGATTTCGAATTTTGCGAAAGAGAAAGATTTTCATGAGAATTTTGGATTTTGGTTTCTATACTTGCGTGCTTATGAGAATCCCATTTTGGTGTCTCATAAGCACGTCATATATGTACTTAAAATCTAGAATTTGCCGGAGCATGTTGAAATATGTACAAAAATAATGTTACTTTTGCATGACTATTCTCATGAGGATTCCGAATTTTGCGAAAGAGAAAGATTTTCATCAGAATTTTGGATTTTGGTTCATATACTTGCGTGCCTATGAGAATCCCATTTTGGTGTCTCATAAGCACGTCATATATGTACTTAAAATCTAGAATTTGCCGGAGCATGTTGAAATATGTACAAAAATGTTACTTTTGCATGACTATTCTCATGAGGATTCCGAATTTTGCGAAAGAGAAAGATTTTCATGAAAATTTTGGATTTTGGTTCATATACTTGCGTGCTTATGAGAATCCCATTTTGGTGTCTCATAAGCACGCCATATATGTACTTAAAATCTAGAATTTGCGGGAGCATGTTGAAATATGTAAAAAAATAATGTTACTTATGCATGAATATTCTCATGAGGATTCCGAATTTTGCAAAGAGAAAGATTTTCATCAGAATTTTGGATTTTGGTTCCCATACTTGCGTGCGTATGAGAATCCCATTTTGGTGTCTTATAAGCACGTCATATATGTACTTAAAATCTAGAAATTGCAGGGCATGTTGAAATATGTACAAATATAATGTTACTTTTCCATGACTATTCTCATGAGGATTCCGAATTTTGCGAAAGAGAAAGATTTCCATCAGAATTTTGGATTTTGGTTCATATACTTGCGTGCTTATGAGAATCCCATTTTAGTGTCTCATAAGCACGTCATATATATGTACTTAAAATCTAGAATTTGCGGGAGCATGTTCAAATATGTACAAAAATAATGTTACTTTTGCACGACTATTCTCATGAGCATTTCGCATTTTGCGATACCTAATATCTAGAATTTGCGGGAGCACGTTCACATATGTACAAAAATAATGTTATTTATGCATGAATATTCTCATGAGGATTCCGAATTTTGCAAAAAAGAAAGATTTTCAAGAGAATTTTGGATTTTGGTTCATATACTTGCGTGCTTATGAGAATCCCATTTTGGTGTCTCATAAGCACGTCATATATGTACTTAAAATCTAGAATTTGCGGGAGCATGTTGAAATATGTAAAAAAATATGTTAGTTTTCCATGACTATTCTAATGATGATTCCGAATTTTGCGAAAGAGAAAGATTTTCATCAGAATTTTGGATTTTGGTTCCTATACTTGCGTGCTTATGAGAATCCCATTTTAGTGTCTCATAAGCACGTCATATATATGTACTTAAAATCTAGAATTTGCGGGAGCATGTTGAAATATGTACAAAAATAATGTTACTTTTGCATGACTATTCTCATGAGTTGTCCAGAATTTTGCGAAGGAGAAACTTGTTCATGAGAATTTTGGATTTTGGTTCATATACTTGCGTGCTTATGAGAATCCCATTTTGGTGTCTCATATTTCGCATTTTGCGAAAGAGAAAGTTTTTCATGAGAATTTTGGATTTTGGTTCATATACTTGCGTGCTTATGAGAATCCCATTTTGGTGTCTCATAAGCACGTCATATATGTACTTAAAATCTAGAATATGCGGGAGCATGTTGA